CCGAAATAAAAAGGATGTTTTTCGATTTAAATCTAAATCTTTTAAAGTAATTTTAAAATACTTAACTCGTGCGGAAATTCGTCGCTTGGCTGACAAAAGGGCGTAATTACAATTTGAGATGAGCCCTGGAAAGCATTACGTTAAATGGACGAAAGGGCTCATCGCGTATTGCAGTGATGCCCTTATGTCAAGGCGACGAATTGATGCTTGCGATGCAACGCAACGGCGAGCGTTTCACGGGTGAAAGAGGAGCCTTCATTCGTGCGAGATACCTCAACATATGCAAGATATTTCTCGTTGCATTCATCAACGGGGGAATTTGGGAATAGATCATCAATGATTATTCAAGAGTGACGGGGGAAAAAAGGGAATTGACCTTTGAACAGGGCAAGGATGGGCTGTTAGAACGTTTCTTTAATTTTTTTGTGCCTTCGGCATTACAATATTAATGAGGAATTACGTATTATGATATCGCGCAATTTTCGCGATGTTCAGATGAATTTCGCTTGATTCATTACTTTTTGACAGGTGGAAATAAAGTGAGCAACTGTTCGAACTACGGAGTAGGTATGCGGTGACCTGCAAAAATTGCAGGAAAATCTTAGGTTTGGGCTTTCTCAAAACTGACGTTTCTGAACATCTTGCTCGCGTCAATTAAAGAATCGCGTATATTCCGCAATCCGCAATGTTGAGGTGAAAATTGTGTGATATTTAGTGATCTTCATGAACCACTGGAAAATTCCCTCTCAGATCGCGCGAAATGTATAGGTAATTTTAAATGATTTTATGATTTTATCGAAACGTTGGAATAATCGCGTTTATTTCCGGCGATGTTGCGGTGATTATCGTGTAAAATCTCATTTATGTTTATAATATCTTAGCAAAAATCGCGCATTTCCCGCGATACTGACTACTGAGATTGGCAGCGTTTGATTCTTCAGGAGTTACCGAATCCATTGGAAATGCCGCGATTTTGAGATGAAACTCGCGTAATGTATCGATTCTTCACACGTGGAAATCAGGCGAGCAACTATTCGAACTCCATAGTATGTAGGTATGTGGTATCACGCGAAATTGAAGGAAAAATCTAGGTTATCTTCTTTCTCGGATTACTGACTCTCGTGAAGATTTTGCTCCCATTGATATCCAAATCGCGCATTCTTCGCTGTATCAATTAAAAATTTTGGGATCTTGTGTGATCTATCTGAAACGCTTGAAATAGGCGTGTGTGTCGCGATATTGCTCTCCTATACTCTGGAGTAGGTACGTGGTATCACGCGAAATTGAAGGAAAATTTTAGGTTATCACCATCCTGAATTACGGATGTTAACGAACATAGATCTAAAAATTGCGTATTTTCCACAATATCGAGGTGAAAATTGTGAGTTCTTAATGTTCTTACTCAATATTGAAAATTTGAGTTTATGCCGCTAATTTGAGATAGGAACGATTATTTTTTAATGATTTCACAAAATTCCTGGAAATTTCGCGCAGTTATCGCAATATTTCGAGGATTACACTATTTATACATATTACTATTTTACATTATATTATTTTAACCTATTTTTTGCATTATCTCCAGAAAAATCACGCATTTCCCACGGCTTCGAGATTGAAAGCACGGAAAAGCTTAGGATATAGTGCATATACGCGTAATTCCTCATGGTTTGTTCGAAATCGCAAGAACAATCTTGAATTTCCGGCGATATCGAGATGAGAAATGAGTATTCGTTTAGAATTTCATGCATCCGCTGGAAAAATCACGCATATTAAGCGATGATGAGAAGAACTGGACTTAAATTCTTCTGATTTCATGAATCTGCCGGAAATAACGCATACACCTCGCGATTTTGAGATGAAACTTGCGCGATTTCCCTCTCCTTCTCACGCGGAAACGATGCGAGCAACTATTCGAACTCCGGAGTAGGTATGTGGTATCACACGAAATTGAAGGAGAATCGTAGCGCTTCTATCTGAAGTTATTGACGCTTATGAATGTAATGCTCGCATCGATATAAAAATCTCGCATTTACGGCGATATCGCGAGATGAAAAGTGGGTTATCGTGTAGGATTTCGTGCGTCTGCTGAAAAACTCACGCATATTCAGCGATAATGAGATGAACTGGACTTAAATTCTTCTGATTTAGTGAATCCGTTGGAAACAACGTGTACACCTCGCGATTTTGAGATGAAACTCGCGCGATTTCCCTCTCTTACACGTGGAAGCGATGCGTGCAACTATTCGAACTCCGGAGTAGGTATGTGGTATCACACGAAATTGAAGGAGAATCATAGCGCTTCTATCTGAAGTTATTGACGCTTATGAATGTAATGCTCGCATCGATATAGAAATCTCGCATTTACGGCGATATCGAGATGAAAAGCGGGTAATCGTGTAGGATTAATGCGTCTGCTGAAAAACTCACGCATATTCAGCGATAATGAGATGAACTGGACTTAAATTCTTCTGATTTAGTGAATCCGTCGGAAACAACGCGTACACCTCGCGATTTTGAGATGAAACTCGCGCGATTTCCCTCTCCTTCACACGCGGAAACGATGCGAGCAACTATTCGAACTCCGGAGTAGGTATGTGGTATCACACGGTTTTGAAGGAGAATCATAGCGCTTCTATCTCAATTCAATGACGCTTATGAATGTGTGGCTCGCATCGATATAAAAATCTCGCATTTACGGCGATATCGAGATGAGAAATGAGTATTCGTTTAGAATTTCATGCATCCGCTGGAAAAATCGCGCATATTAAGCGATGATGAGAAGAACTGGACTTAAATTCTTCTGATTTCATGAATCTGCCGGAAATAACGCGTACACCTCGCGATTTTGAGATGAAACTTGCGCGATTTTCCTCTCCTTCTCACGCGGAAACGATGTGAGCAACTATTCGAACTCCGGAGTAGGTATGTGGTATCACACGAAATTGAAGGAGAATCATTGCGCTTCTATCTCAAGTCATTGTCGCTTATGAATGTGATGCTCGCATCGATATAATAATCTCGCATTTACGGCGATATCGAGATGAAAAGCGGGTTATCGTGTAGGATTGCGTGCGTCTGCTGAAAAACTCACGCATATTCAGCGATAATGAGATGAACTGGACTTAAATTCTTCTGATTTAGTGAATCCGTCGGAAACAACGCGTACACCTCGCGATTTTGAGATGAAACTCGTGCGATTTCCCTTTCCTTCACACGCGGAAACGATGCGAGCGACTATTCGAACTCCGGAGTAGGTGTGTGGTATCACACGAAATTGAAGGAGAATCATAGCGCTTCTATCTGAAGTTATTGACGCTTATGAATGTGATGCTCGCATCGATAAAGAAATCTCGCATTTACGGCGATATCGAGATGAAAAGCGGGTAATCGTGTAGGATTTAATGCGTCTTCTGAAAAAATCACGCATATTCAGCGATAATGAGATGAACTGGACTTAAATTCTTCTGATTTAGTGAATCTGTCGGAAATAACGCGTACACCTCGCGATTTTGAGATGAAACTCCTTCGATTTCCCTCCTTACCGCTTACCGCCTTACCTTGCTCGGCAATACGTGGCTGAGTGTGAGCTTAAATACGCAACTTCGAACCCGTTTTTCTTGGTATGATATAATTTCTAAAAACATGGGTAAATTACTATGTATCAAGTATCATTTCTACTTTTAAAAAATGCAATAATTAAAAATTAATGAAAGTGAACAAGCGCATCGTGTGTTGGTGTCATTTAATGCACCTCATCAGTGAATATTCTACCTCATTTCTTCTATGTGCCTAACGTATAGTAATAATAATATAGTAATCGTTCCATCTTCTGTTTCAGGATTGACAGTTAGGAGCCTCTCATAAGGTACGTAGATTTAATTTTCTAGATTGACACAATCTCTGTTTACTCAACCGTACAATTTTCCATGTCAAATTTTAAATGGATTAATTTCACGAGGACCAATTGGATCTGAAATAATTGTCGTTTAAAATCTTTTCTCGCTATCATCATGAAAACAGGTTGTGAACTCTGAAGTAACTGATTATCAAACTCTCGGCTGTTAGTTATTTCTTTTTCTAAAACTAGGACATCCATGCACACAAACTTATTTGTCGCACTATGATGCCGATGCCCACTGGCACTGTATAGGACTCCGTACCGCCGGCTGATTATTGAAATTGATGAACAAAGATGACATAGACAAACGGGTGGTTGCGATGGACTAGTGAGATAGATAATAGACTAACTAACCTAACCCACGAGAGACCCTCTTTAGTCCATCATTTTCTCCCTGCCCATTTCATTGTCTATCAATTTCAATGATCAGCCCAGCCCGCTGGATCTAACACCAGCAAATGAATGGAGGATTTCCCTGAGCCTGAAGAAGGTACTTTTGACGTTTTGCTTTTGCGAAAAACAGCAAAAAGTAACGGGCGCCGATAGAAAGTAGCCTTAATAGCAAAATCGTGGAGAGATAGAAGAAGTAGGAGAAAAATGAGGAAGAGAGAGGATGAAGATATTTTATAAAAATATGATATAACGAGGAGTAGAAAAATAATCAATAAAATATAATAAACTAAGATAAAATTATATAAAATCTGACGAATTGAAATAAAAGTAGTAGGCTACGTCCCCTGATAGCTTCGCGGTGCAGCCCCCGAATTCGGGTTTCAGGCGTTAAGCATTACAACGTTACATAATCCGTCGATTTTATAATACAGGTAGAGAAACTAAGTTTAATAGAATTTGAACAAGCAAACTTGTAAGTGCGGATTTAAAATTGATGTTTTCCGCCTTTTACTAAACAACGTCTCATCATAACTAGTGCAATAAAACAAGATACAAGGCTAGGTTTTGGTTTTCCACGCGGGACGCCGTTCTGTGGTAAAAAGTTCCGCGTTTAGCCACCGCAGCAGCACTAGCACGAGCTGCATGCGCAGAGGAGCAAGCGGTTGCCGCTCCGATGCATTTGTCGAATTCTCTTCAGTTGGCGATTTGCTTTGGTGCCGTAGGGACCGCTGCACGTGCCGCCAGGTTCCAGGGTTAGCTTGCTTATCGTGTTGTTTATGAGGTTGTTACGGTTTCGTTTCAGAAAAATCTTTGGATATTCGTGTCTCTGTGAATCACTCATTTAACTTTTTAGCAGTGTCTCTTCTCTGAAAGTTAAAACGGTCAAACCTCGCGAGGAAATAGTGCTTCTGCTTTCCTTGGAAAGTCTAGTTTACTTACTTATTTACCTTCTCGATTCGGCTTTTATATTGTGTTAATATTTACCCCCAAGTGTGTGATTGTGTCTCTGGTTTGATATTGTCAACTTTTCTGAAGTTTGTTTTGCATTCTCCCGGACAACTGTGGTCCTTCGTTCTTTTCTCGCGTGTTTTGTTGACTGTATTTTAAATCAATTCTAAGTGTCCTGTGGAAGTGTCAACGATTCTTGTTGTCCTGCCGCACATTTATCATTGGAATAAGTCTACTTTGGAGAACGATTCATCAATCTGAAGGTACATACCTTATTAACTTCCTATGCTTTAACACTGTGCTTAAGCATTGCGTTCTTGAAGACGCCCAAAACCGTAGTCAAGTTATTCGACCCGAGACAAACTCGAAATGAAAAGTATGTATCGAAACGAAATAAAGCGAGACTTAGAGGCACGGAGCATTGAAAGTCTTAGAGAATCATCCGTTGGCTATCAGTTTCGCTATCGTAAAGATGTTATCCAAGTTCAGAATTTTCAGGGATATTAAATTGGATCATGGGATAGTTTGTCAGAGATTAAAAGAGGTTCAAATTGCATCGTTGTTCGTTAAGTTTATGTAGATTTATCTGAACTGTTTTGCCCAATGTTATTAAATGAGCATTAAAGTAGATACCGCACATCTTCCTTAAGAGTCCTCCTAAAACTACCCAAAGTTTACGTCTTGCTCTTAAATATTTTGAATCCTAGTATATCTACTCTGCCAGTTATACCCGAAACAAGAAGGATTTCCTATCTAATTCCCACACCAAAAAAAGTGCGCTGCATCCACCATCCCAAGCTCATTTTACAAGTTCATCCAAAGCTCATTGTTAGTATCACCTCCCTGTCTTTTCAGTAGATCTGCCGCATTATTTCATCCAATTTTATGTCCAGCCATGAAAAATTAGTTTTTAACTCAAAACTAAATACTCTTCATTATGTGCATTTGATCAATCTTCCAAGTTGCCTCTCTTTTTTGTTGGTCACATCAAGTATAAAAACAGGATATGTCGTGTAAAACACAGGGGTTTTTTCTTCTTTTGCTTGTGTATGTGAGGGCGTGTGTGTGTTGATCTTAGTATGAACACCTTTGTTTTCCGGATCTCCTCTCTCGACAATTGTAAGTAAATGAAGGAGGTTGGAGTAGGAGACAAGTAGATTGAGGGAATGTCCCTTCGATCTAAGTACTCGTTTAATTTCAAGTTAGGTATTTGTAAAAAAGGAGGTGGGGCGGCATGAATGAAATTGAAAACGATTGGATTTCAATACCTATCTATGCCTGCCTTTTATTCTATCGGTCTATCCCGTAAAAAGAATTGCGTGTTGAATAATTCCATCAAAACGAACCATAAAGCGCGAGAATCCTTTGGCTATAGTGACTGTTGATTAAATGCATTCGTAAATAGCTCCTTATAAACGCTTGAGATACCCTACAATCCAAACATGGGTGAAAGACATCTTTGTCGCCGCGCCGCACAATGAACCGAATCAATGGGAGAGGTCGGACATTCATTTTTTTTACTAATACTACAAATTTATATGTTTATTTCGTCAAAGTTGAGGGGTGATTATTTTGGAAAATTCACCGAGAAAACCAATGGGACCATTTTTAGACCTCAAAATTTTGTAAAATCGGAGTTATGAGCTTTTAATGTTTCAAAATTATGTCCGATCTCTCCCATTGACTCGATCCACCGTGCGCCGGAAGCCGATTTCGCTTAATTTTGAACAAATGTTCTCGCATGGCTGTATGAACTCGCAGTGCCAGGGAGCAATGATTTCCTGCACAGGAAGATACGGAGAGAAATTGCAGGGCGTGTTGCTGGCGTTCTCCTTCGGGTCCTTCCTGTGCGCGGCGCGTGTACCTCGGTGACTCACTGCCGGCAATAAATAACGAGCCCGGCTTCTCGGCGGGTGTTTGAACTCGCCAGGGACAGACGCGAGGAGCTGGACGAAAAAAGTCGATGCTTGACGAAATCTGACGTTAACATCACCCAACCCATGCCAACGCTCCTGCGGACTTGGCCTCGTATCGCGGCGAAATCTCGAAAACACAACGTGGTTTGTTGCCGTGCTAGGTAAAAACGTCGCACAAGCCATAAGGCGTTGCCAAATTTCCCTTGACAAAGTTCATATCGCGGCGAAATCTCGAAAACACAACGTGATCTGTTGCCGTGCTAAGTTAGAAAGTCGCATGAGCCATTGGGCGTTGCCAAATTTCCTTCGACAAATCATGAATTTCTCGAAAGTTTGTGAATATTTCTCCTCCGATTTTCCACAGGATTACGTGAATGATTGATCTATAAAGTCTGAAAAGTTCAAGGAAAAATATTCATAAATTTCTTTTGAAGTGAATCTTTTTACGTAAGAAATTTGGCAACATTCAAGTGCCTCTACGGCGTTTTTACTTAGCACGGCAGTTTGGGCCTGAGACGACGTTTTGCGCGGGGCGCCCATCACCGCGGACACAGATGTTACAAGATTCCTTTATAAAACGCGGTTATTTATGGTGACGCAAATCGGGATATTTATGATGTATGGCAACAACCACTACGCAACATTGTCACTTTGTACGAGGAAATCCGAATAATACTTGGCGCTGTTAGAGATGTAAATATCTGGGAGGAATCTTGTTCCCGGGGCTTTTTCGGACCCACCTCTTCTAAAATGCACAGGAAGCTCATAAGATCCTGGGTTTACGCTTGATACTCATCCTGTCGTGTCGCTGGCTTCTTTGTCGGTGGAAGCGCTCAGTGCGTGCTCAACAACCAACAAGAAAGGTAATTTAAAAAGGTTGAGTGGTGGAGTCCCGAAAGTACAAGTTGCCACCTATTGCCAGGTAGCAAGGGAAGAGCCTCTTTTTACTTGTCCTTTGAGAAAAAACGAGCTCTTATTTATGCTGGGGACAGTGTGGCGATTGGTGCATACAAAATTTCCTCTCTTAGTAATAACTTTGCTACTTAAGATCCTCAGTCCTCTCCAGAGGCAAAATGGAGGCCCTCCAGAGCCCTACGGCTCTACCTGTAGGTGCTCTCAGAGCTCTAGGTAACTGTAAAAACTTCTCCCCTCTAGGAATTCAACATTGTAACGTATTTGTGCTGTAAAAACGCAAACACCATGTACACAGATCTCTAACAAAATGGAGGCGTTGTTGAGATTTCTATGCACAAAACTAACCGCAAATCTAATAAGTTATCCTATCCATCTGTATACGAAAACCTCTTTAGGCTCATCCCATGGCGCAAGATTAGGATCCGTTCTGGATTTAAATTTTCGAATATGTAGGTGCGTCTTGCTTGGAAGCGATTCGTCGTTTGAATAAATGAATAAAATTACTGATTTTAAAAAAATGTATGCGCTATACGTTTGAAAACGAGTCGCGAAGAGAAACATGATGACAAAATATTCGAAGAGCACCTTCGCAGAAAAATATAACCCTCGCCTAATCGTCTCCACTAATCGGAGCCCCGAATAATGGTGACTCAACCCCACTTGGTCGTTTCGGAGGGTAAAGAACGCATCTACATTTCAAAGTTGCGGCGATTTTACTCGCTAATAGCAATTTTACTAGGAAAATTTGGAACTTTTCCAACTGTAAGTCTCACCGATTTTTTTATAAGATTAGACAAAAGAAGAATTTCGGGCGGAAATGCCTCAGACGGATTTTTGAAAAATAGAATCGGTATCGTATGTTTTGCAGCATGTTTTGAATGGACCTCCAGACAAGGTCTGAATTGAAGCACAACGCCACGTGTTTCTTCTTCATGATTCCTTGAGAAAAACGAAACATTACGTCATTTGTGTAATCAAACTTCCATTTGATCTGTGTTCAATAGACTCGTTAATATCTTGTTCTGGAGTTGATTTGTGTGCATTGTTGTCTTTGTAAGATTTTGGAGAGGAAACATAGTGACCCATTGCATTCAGAGTACCTAGCGAGAACATGGACAGCTCGCCCTCTATACAGCTCATAAGGGCAGCAACCCCTCTAACACAAGAAATCACACTACCAATCTCCAGGTTCCAATTTCAACTAAAATGGCCAAGGATGTTCATAAATGAGCGTTCTTCCGCCAAAATAAGTACATTTTTGAAAAAAATAATTAAATATGACGAGTCGTAACAATTGTAATAACAACTCGTTCTGGATAAGAATTCATTAGATGGCTGCCCTTTTGGGCCCTAATTTTATTCGCGGAGGCATCGGTGAAGGAAGGATTTTCGGTGTTTGTTCTCTCGATAGACAGGCACTATATTGCGTTTCTTTGACTACGACACGGCGGCATGTTTCCTTCTAAAATTTCGTTTAACGCGCATTTCACTCTCTCGGCCCGGCAACGTCGGTGGCGAGTCCCAGTTGGCGCTCCAGCCCATTTCTGAATGGCAATAAAAAACGGACCCGCGGAGACCCGCACGCGCGGGCCGCGAAACATAAACAGCGGCGGCGGCGCGTCCGTGGCCGGGGTCGGCGAGCCCGGGGTTCGGGGCCGGCCGGGGGAGCAGGCTGCCTGGCTGGAGGTGGCGCGAAGCTGCCCGAGCCCGCCAGACGAGACGGGCTTTGACGGAATTCCGCGGATTCCGGGCTCGGCATGGTCGCCTCCCAACGTCAAAACAGGACCCGCTCGATTAAGTCATCATATTAAGACGACACAACCTCACGTGAGAGCATGCTCAAATGCGTCGTGAGTTAAATCATTTTACGCTCGAATTTAAATACAGCCCTTGACATGGGTGGAACAACACTGCCGTGCTTAGGAAGAACGCCGTATGATCATTCGAGAGTTGCCAAATTGCCCCGGATCAAACTTGTATTTTTGAGTACGATTATGCGTATTTTTCATTGAAATTTCTCTGACATTGAAGACGAAATTGCGAACAAAATTGTCTGAAAAAATTGAAGAAAAAACTCACGATTTTCCTAGTAGATGAAGGTTTTATTGAAGGAAATGTGGCAACGTCTGAAGGTTCATACGGCGGTCTTCCTTAGAACGTCAGTATAGGCCGTACGCAGTCATAGTCGTTTCTAAAACAGGCCTTTTTGTTCGGATGCACCATGTCGACTACCAAACCACGTATATATCTCGTTTGGTGTGTTCAAAAATCTTCGCTTCAATTAATTTTTTGAATGAAAACGAATCAATATCATACTTTATAGTTTTCACAGCGTTTTCTTCGCATAGAGAGGAGGAATCTTGGAAGTTTCTAAGAATTGAAGTCTAGTAGTTTTCAAGTAGTCTCGTTTATGTGGTTTCGATTGTAGTTGT